CAAAGAATTCAACTGCTCTGAAAACGTACCTTTCATTAGCCAATCAATCAAAATATTTAATCTTTAGAGCTACATTAGTTCAAGCACCAATGTTCATTTTTATGTGTCTATTAAAATAGTGATGTGCTACCTATAGTTATTATGGACTACATTTCTTTTAGGTTCTGTCAATCCCTGGATGAGATTTATTGGAGTTACACTGTTTAGTCAAACATTAAAACCACCTGCCTAATATCGTGGAAGACCCCCTCGTGCTGTTAAAACAGCTTTGATGCATCAGGGCATGAACTCTGCAAGACCTCTAAATGTGGCCACGGCAGCACCTTGAACTCCTTGACTTGTTCCTCAAACCATTCCTGAACAATTTTTGCAGTGTGCAGGCTGGATTATCCTGCTCAAATAGGCCACTGCCATCGGGTGGGTGGTATGTGTCAAAGTAACATCCACATGAATGCCAGGACCCAATGTTTCCCAGCAGAACACTGCCCAGAACATAACACTGCCTGCTTTCTTCCCATAGTGAATCCTGCTGTCATCCCTTCTCCAGGTAAATAATGCACGTACACCGGGTCATCCACCTGATTTAAAAGAAAACGTGAATCATAAGACCAGGCAACCTTCTTCCATTGCTCCACGATCCAGTTCTGATGCTCACGCCCCCACTGAAGCCACTTTAGCAGTACATATGGGTTATCATAGGCATATCAATATTCCATATGTAGAAAACGGACACCTTTCTCTCATGGCAAGCACTACGTTTATTAGCAATTGAGGTACAGTAGATCTTCTGTGTGATCGGATCAGATGGGCTAGCCTTCGCAATCCATGTGTATCAAAGAGCCTCTTGCGCCCATGAACCTGACACCAGTTGTCCTTCCTTGCACCACTTTTGGTAGATACTGACCACTGCATACCGGGAACACCCCACAAGACTTGCTGTTTTGGAGGTGCTCTGACCCAGTCGTCAACCATCACTATTTGACCCATGTCATAGTCACTTAGATTTTTTCACTTGCCCATTTTTCCTGCCTCCAACACATGAAATTCATGAACTGACTGTTCACTTGCTGCCTAATATATCCCACCCCATGGCAGGTGCCATTGCAATGATTCAATGTTATGCACTCCACCTGTCAGTGGTTTTAATGTTGTAGCTGATCAGTGTATATTCTACGTAAGCTGGTTAAGAAGTAATCGCCTCAGTCTCCCATTCCATCACTTGAATGGTTTAACTCCCACTAACCTCAACCTGAATCTTACTGAGCATGATAGGAGTTATGATCTAGCAGGACAAGCAACTTCTTTACGTTCAGTTTGATGGGACATAAATTCCCAGATCAGCATTTGTGTTTTTTTTTCCTCTGCACCTAGGAACGTCAGTGGTCAATACCCAGAACCAATTTATGTTTTTTTCATTATCAGAATGTTAGACAGGATTTTTAACTAAAATCAGAATATTTGGGAACTCAAAACTCACAGCCCAGGGAGACAGCCCCCACAACAGAGGGTCCAGTAAGATGAAGTGGCTATGGTGCTTAGAGTAACCCTTTAATTCTCCTTTAGTTTCCTATACATGAAAGGACAATATTCTGTTGGAAACCTGTTAAACTCTGTGGCCGCTGATAGTAAAGCATCATATTTGCTGCACAACAAATTACTTGGAAGATGTACCTAGCACTTTAGAGATTAGGCCTATCTATCTATGTAGAAAACTTCAAATTTCCAGGTTTAATATCAAAACAAACATAATCCGTAAGTGTTTATTTTTCAATTATTTGTCAGAGTAGAATTTCTGCTACATTATATTGATTTTGTTTTGATTAGGCTGCGATCTTGTTCAGATTGATGTTTTTACGGATAACGCTGTACCTGCAGGTCCACGAGCTGAGATTCTGGCCTTAGGACTGCGCTATTTCTATTGCTATTTTTAATTTAACCTAGGGTCTGTGTTTTTCACTTATTTGTGGTTGTTCTCATAGTTGTTGCATGTAAACATTAAAGTGAAGTCACTCAGAAACTTAGAAAATGTTGGCGTTAGAAACACAGATCGATAATCACCTGTCTGTGTAGCTGTAAATATATTCATTGTGATGGAACGATAGAGCAGTATTTGTAGCAAATATTCGTATCCAACGTCGAGCGGACTGCTCATCGCAACATGTTCTGTTTATTAACATTGCCTTCACAATAAATGATCATCACTCTGTCATATTGCCAAGCAATTGGAATTCCAAGCACAATATTGGAATTCCAAGCACAATACAGAGCTGTATTATCAATTAGGTAAACTAGAGTTTGCAGGAATCGATGACCTGCAAACTTTCTTTGTCATAGGGATAAGCATAACCACCTAGCAAAGCTAGCGGGTATGTGGCAGCCTCCCGGAGAAATATTTTGCCACGCTAAAAACACTCGTGCTGTGCCAATCAGGTGATCAGGACAGCCGTGTAGCTCGCGGCAGCCCTGATCACCTCAGATTTTAAAATCGGGATACTGCAGATGGTTAACTCATCCAGAGACAAAGAAACCCCCTAATGTAGGATAGATATCAATGTACAAGGTACTAAACATAATAAAGGAAAAGAGCACCACTGACAATGTAAGGGGGGTAACAATGATTTATTTACTCAACCAAACATGAACTTACTCCTATGAAAGGGTAATGTCATCAAGAGTGGAAAGGCAATATAATAAAGTATCACTAAATAAGAAACATTTCTGAAGTACTAACAGTTAATAGTAACATATGAAAATATAACAAAACAATCTTTGATCATGAAGGTGAAAGACAAAAAACAGTCTCTGAGAGAAATATTAGTATAGTATAACTCATAATCAAAGAGCTTCTGGAAGAAGTTTCTTAACCTCCAGAACTATTTAGGAGGGTCCTTGGCTTGGTGATCCTGTCTGGGTAGCCGGTTGTAATCTGTAAAGATAAACAGAATAAATATAAATAAATAAACAAACACACAAAATGACTTTAATTAGAAGATTCCCAAACCAGAGAAATACCCTGCAGCCACCAGGCAATAGAAATAAACCTGGGGAGGGAGGGATGGGCGCTTTGCTAGGTGGTTATGCTTATCCCTAGGACAAAGAAAGTTTGCAGGTCATCAATTCCTGCAAACTCTAGTTTGTCCCTCCGGGAGGCATAACCCCCTAGCCAAGCTAGTGGGTTGAATAGCATGCACCTGGTGGTGGTCCTAATGAACTGTAAACGTTCCACTTCAGTTGGCCTCCAGTAAAACTTAACAAAAGTCTTACTGGAAGACCATCTTGCAGCTTTATGGATAATAGGAAGAGAAAGGCCTCTCATTGCTGCTTTTGAAGCTGAGGCCCCTCTGATAGAATGACTCTTAAAAACCATGACATCAATACCTGCTGCAGACAAAGCGGACAGTATCCAACCCCTGATTGTGTTAACCTTAGCTGGCCGAAAAGTTTTTCTGGAGGTGATAAGTCATTGCGTAAAGTCTTGTCTGACTGGGGCAGAAAGATTCAAGTATGAATTTAACAAATTAACTAAGCATAAACTTGGCTCAGCAGAATCCTGCATCAAATCTAGTTCTACAGGACCCAGGAAAATATGGGAAGTCTTCTGTCTCCCTTTAAGGATGACATGAAATCCCCCAGGAGTTCGAGACAACCACAGTTTGACAATATTTAGCTGGGTTAATTCTGAGCCTCTAGCTGCCAGAGCTAAAGCTAGAAGGAATGCCAATTTAATCACCGACCATCTTAGCTCAATCTGGTCATTGTCCAAAGAATTAAGGTAGTTTAATAAAAGGTCCACATCCCAAGTGGAAGTGTATCTCGGAGTAAAAGGCTGGCAGACTGATAGCCCTTTGAGTAACCTGAGGTAAAGAGCATCTTGGGTCAGATTAGGGATTGGAAAATTTAATGCAGAACCATACGTCTTAATCGTACTGACTGCTAACCCTGAATGATATTTGAGAGTGAGGAATTCCAAAGCTAAGGAAATTGTGTCAGATTCATGGGAAAGGAAATTAAAGGAAACTTCCCATGCTTTAATTTCCTCGATCATCTGTTTGTATCTTTAATTTCCTCGATCATCTGTTTGTCCTGCGCCGTAATGAAGAATTAACTATGTCTAAAACCTGGTCAGACAGAAGAGGATGCGTTAAATGTCTACCAGGGCTGCCATCCACATAAGTTGGGGGAGCTTGGTTAAGAGATCCCTGGTCCCTAGGAAGCAATCTGCTGTCCAGCCTAATGGAACCTTTGGTCCCTGATTAGAGGTTGGATCAGGGGTTACCATGGTCTGGAGGTCCAAATGGGGTACACTAAAACCAGATTGGTCACCCTGTCCCTGCAAAGTTTCTCTAACACCTTCATCAGAATAGATGGAGGGGGAAAAGTGTAAAGGCCCGGAATGTCTGTCCATTGAAAGGCCATCGCATCCATCTTCCAAGCTTCTTTTGCCCAAGTCCTGGATACAAATTTGGGAGTCTGAGCCGAGGTCTGAGATGCAAAAGATCTATCTATCTATTGCCCAGTCTGCTCTCTATCAGCTGAAATAAGGCACTCTTTAACTGGACTGTAGCAAGGGACAAACGTTGGTGGGACAGGGAATTCATTTGCCTCTCCTGGTACGTGAACTGCCAAAATTCAAACTTTGTGAACTAGAGCCCAGGACCACAGGTCCAAGGCCTCTAGGCAAAGACCTTTTGACCTTGTGCCCCCTCTGTGGTTGACATAAGCTACCACTGTCCTGTTGCCTGATTGAACCATTACCGACACACCTAGGGGGTTCAACGGAACGAGGCCTTGGAGGGCTAATTTGATTGCTCTCAACTCTAGTAAGTTTATGTGGAGAAGCCTTTCTTGAAGCGACCAAACTCCTCTTATTGCGCCTTG